GGCTGCTAGCCTCGTTAGCTTAGCTGAAGCCCAGGCAGGGACGGCCAGCTCGTCGGGGCTCGTTTCGTCGCATTTCGGCGAGCCCGACGCGACCGCCGCCGCCGCGACTACCACCACCAACACCACCTCGGTGGCGGCGACGACGGCGACGCGCGGACGTCGTCGAGCCGCTCCTCGCGAACCGTCCTCTCGGTCATTTTCGGGAGGTTCGTCGGGGAACTCGGAGCTTTATGACCATAATTCCAGCCCGGAGACGTTCCCGTGGTTCCGTACCCACCTAGCAGGAAGAACAACATGGTCGCTCCAACGTCCTCCTCTCCTCTTCGGGAGCGTCTCCGCCTTGAAAAGCACAAAAGAGGAGAGAGGGAAAACTCCGCGAGAAAACGCGTCCACGGGCCACTCGATCCACGTCCGGTGCTGCCCTCGCGGCCGCTCCACCCGGGGGCAATGACGTGTGTCGGGGGCAGCTCTCGCTCGCTTTCTCGCTCGGCCGGCCGCCTTGCTGTCGCTGTTGCTGCGACTGGCCTCGAAAGATAACACGGGGGACGTGCGAGACGTCAACGGGGCTCCCTCGGCGCAGCAGTAATGGCGACTCTCTCTCTCTCTCTTTTCCTCCCCCTCCCTCTCTGGCTTTCACATCCCCTCCCCTTTTTCTTTCTCTCGTTTCTCTTTCAATGTTTCACATTCCCTGACTCTTTCCTTTATCTTCTGAATCAGTCTTTCTCTCCCTTTTACTCTCTCTCGCCCCTCTCCCTCCTCTCACTTTCTCATCTTCTCTCCTTTTACTTTCTGTCTGTCTATCATTCTTTTTTTCAATCTCCCCTTCCCCCTCTCTGTCTTTGAATCTTTCTCACGCTCCTTTTCTCATTTCCTCCTTTTCTTATCGCTGTTTCTCTGTGACTCGCCTTCTCTCCAGTGGCGGAGCTAGACTTTTATCAAGGGGTGGGAGTGGGGGGGGGGGGCAATACGGTGGCCGAGGCTTGCTGAGGGGCTCTTCAAAAACTTGGAAACACGTACTCAACAATCATCACCCATTTTTATCTTGAATAAAATTTTCAATGGCTGCAGTGTAAAAAATAAAAATAGTCATGTTAAAATAGATGAAACTGGAATTTATGTTGCTTGTCCTCCCCCATGTTTTAATTTTCAAAACCTATGAAAAAGCTAGGACAGGAGCCTAATGGAACTTCCAGACTGGCATCACCTTCGCCATTGGCAGGAATGTTTGATGAAGCTTCCCATGCAAACCAGCGGCCCTCGCTCACTTCCTGTCATGGAATTATGTTTGCCCCCCTCCCTGCTGGAAATGGGTTAATGATGTCAAATGGGCCTGGATTTCAAAGGGGGCAATTTTCCTCACCGGGGAATCAAAGAACGAGACACTTGTTTGCGCACTCACGCGCCTGCCAATCGTGATGAAAGGAACAGGAATTTGAAAAACAAAAACAAAACGTGATGGACAAAAACATCCTTTGTCTTTCTTTTGTTCATGATTATTTACATTATAATCAAATGAATGACGAATCAAATCCACGAATGAATTATGATTTCATTATTAACAAATAATTCTACACACACACACACACACACAGATAAAGTAAAAATGAATTTTATTGTTTTGTGTCGTCCCCAAGTGCCATGCCACATTTGTTCTTTTTAAAAATACAAACATGGCCAAAAAGTTTCCTCCCCGTTTCTGGTGTGTTTTTGTCTATGTCATGTTGTGCTGCAGCAGCAGCAGCAGTTGCGGCAGGGGGCGCTACTCTTGTCCAAGATGAAGGAGGAGTGGAGCGCCGCACCCTGCCAGCCAATCAGAGCGCAGTCCCGCCCTCTCCATCCCATCCTCTTCAGTTACCAAGGCAACAGGCGCCCCCGTCTCTCACCCCCCCCCTGCCTCCCCGCTGGTGTTTTCCATCCTGAAGGTGCCGCATCATTGCTAAGCTTAGCGTTAGCATAAGCGTCGTTGCCGGTCGCGCCGCAGTGGGACTGACCTGATCGCCGAGGGAGGCACCTCCCTCCTCCGTCCGTCCGTCCGTTCCTCCTTCCTTCATCCTTCATCCATCTCATCCTTCCGTCCGACCGCAGACGAGCATTACTTGACTTCTGGGTGAACAGCGAAGAGCGAGGAGCCAACAGCAGATGCGGTACGTACGCATCGTCTGGTGTATGGCCGCGTGCGTGCGTGATGGTGCCTTCAGGAGCTGGAGGAAAAAGCGCAAGTCAAGCTCGTGACGGCAGTCGGGGCAAAAGCAACGGCAGGCCAAGGGTGGGGTGACACACTCCCTTTTTCTTCCGCCGGCTTTGTTCAAGCACCGCGTCGGCTCCGCCTGCCCGGGCCGACGCCTCGTCGGCCGGCGCGGCCCGATCCTTTGCAAAAGTTTTGCCCGCGTGCCTTCCGGTGACGCCTCGGCTCCTCTCCCAAGGCCGGATGGCGTTCGTCGCTCCGAGCGGCCTCCAAATCCTTCGGACCGCGTTGGGATCACGTTAGGTTGACTGGGCGAAGGGTGGGGTCGAGGACTCCAGACCGAGGTTCTTACAGTCGACAGAAAGCAACCGGATGGATCACTGCAACCCAAATTGAAATCGCACTTCTCTTGACCAAATTGAACGACGACGAAAAATAAAGTGCTTTAAAAATTAAACGGCGTACCCCGATCTCCGCCACGAGGTGCCCCAAGCGCTTGGGAATCCTCACATTCCTGAGACTGCGTCTTGTGTTTCTAAAACCAACTCTCGCTACGACGGCAGCAAAAAGCTCCTTTGTTTTCATCTTTGCCAATTCATTTCCTCCATGAGCGTTCGGGTCCATTTGAAAGGCGGCGATTTCGGGGTCGCGTTACGTCCGTACGGAAGAGGGAAGGTTTGAGAATTGCCTTTTACTTTTCTGCCTTACCCAATACTTGGTGACGAAAACTCAACTCAAACTATACGAAAACAAAGCATTTCTGTAAAAAGAAAAAAAACAATTGCGCCAAGAACAAATTCAAACCGAGGACGCTGTATTCGTGTCACTTCATAAGAAAATGGGACATGATGAGATTCAAAGTGGTCAGTTGACGAGGGAGCACTCAATTGGGAAAGCCGAGCGGTGTCGCAACACGTTGGGCTCGCTCAATGTGACCAGGTTGCCTTTGGGGTTGACCTGGGACTGCAGAGACAAAGGCGAGGCGTCACATTTCTCGAGCACTTTAAAACAACCTCCCGCTGCAGACAAAGTGCTGTACGTGGAGCAAATATCATCGATACAACAATCAACAAAAAACGAATGACAAAGATGGCAGAAATCACAAAAACAGTCAAACTGAGATCAAGTCTGAGTCATGCTGAGTCAAAAGCCAGAGAATACAAATGAGCTTTGAGACGTCGACGCCACCGAGTGTTCGCCAGTCACGCGGGTGACGCCCACAGACCAGCAGAAATCATTCGATGCGATTGAGGTTGATTTTGAACGTGCAGACGTATCAGGAGAACGGACAAAACGAAAGCAAATGCACTGTAAATAGCCCAAATGATGACCCCCACTCGTCCGGAAAGGAAAGGAGTGCCACCAAGGATTGGATGACATCATGGCATGACTAAGCTGAGCCTCCGCCCCCACTTTGTTTCAGCTCATTCTCCCATAGAATAGGATGCTAGTTAGCCTAGCCTAGTCCGGCATCAGTCTTTTCTTTTTCACTCCCAAGGTAACTATGGCAACGCTGCTAGCAACAAATGTTGCTCGGACTCTAATTTGGTTGCTTTGAATGTTGTTGCTGCCGCCGCCGCCGCTGCTGACTTTCAGCTTGGTCCCCATCAGCCGGGGCTCGCCCGATGTTTGTTCGTGTTCTGTCTTTGAAATCTGTGTTCAGATTCAAGAGAAAATTTGTGGTTGGCCTAAAAGCGCGACTGCCGTATGTGAGCATTTTCTTCAGATGAAAAAAAAATAAGGCACCAAAACAAGAGCGCCATCCCCTCCGTTCCACCTTTGCCATCGCCTGGATGGCAAGACGGATGGCAACACAAATTGAATCAAAATGTTCAAATGGATTTTTTAAAAAGTGATATTTCGACAGCAATGTATCAATTTGACTTAAGCAATTATGCTTTCAGACTAACGAACTGCGAACAAAAAGCCACCTGATATCACAAAGGTCTAATCACAGATCGGTGCCTTTCAATCCACGAGCTTAATGCTAATTAGCAACAATGTTGTGGTGCATCAACCCCTTTGGCAGCGGATGGCAAACAAAACGTTGGGCAACACATGTAGACAGACACCAAAATAGTACTTGGTCATGCATCCCTTATCCTCTGCGTAGAACGACTAATTTTGTGGCGGACCGATGAACCGAGACAGGCCTTAGTATGAATCCCGCTTCAGTTTTAGGGGTACACAGGACAGGAGCCAATCATATTGGAGCGGCTAAGATGGGGCGGGGGGGGGGTTCCCGAGATTCATGACAGACTGCACTGCCCCCGTGTGGCCAAGATGAGCGCAGCACGAGGAGCAGCATTCCTTTACATTCAATTGATCGGCGTCATTCCTTCGCTGTTTTTATCAAGTACAATTTGATGGAGTGGCATTTTTTCTCTTCAGTAAGACAAATGCGACAATCATTGTTGTCGTCTTTGAAAACGTATTCACGGTGTTTTGAATAGATTCGCTCTCTACGGGCGTGTTGAGACACAATCATCCCGACATGATCACCTCGAAGCGAGGACACGGCATCCTTCGTGGCCGTCGTTGTTGCATTATTCACACGGTGGCTGCGCTGCACGCCTGCGGTCTTGCTACTCGCACGTGTGAAGGTACTCCATTTCTAAAGAGTAGGAAGCACTGATGACGCAACCGTTGTTTGGAGTGAGTGATGTAAACGTGCAGATGAGACATGAACCAGTCATGGGTCACTAGGATGGCAAAGACAAGACTATATTGACAATACCAATGAGAAAAGGTGCCAAATGAAATCAAAGCGGATGTCAGCCGCCGGCGGGCGTGTCCGAGACAAAAACTATCCCAACAAGACGGGACGTTGTTTGCATCAGGCCAAACGGGAAGTTCAGTTGAGCAAAGGTCAAGATGGAGGACACAAAATGGCTGCCGTCATTCTGTTTACTCGCCGCTGCGTTCGAAACTGCCGAGTAGAGTAGCAAGTGTCTTCCATGACACGGCTTGGTAGAAGTCACGTTAGTCTCCACTGCATTTGAGCGAAAATAGCCATTTCAAGGTCCAGTGTTTAGAATTGAGGCCCATCTAGTGGTGAACTGATAGAGTGCAACGCCTTCAGCTCCAAGCGCGCATTTTGAAGCAGCCGCGCGACGTGGCTCACTCACAGAGAGCGCGCTCGCTCGGCAAACTGACCGGCAACGTTTGAGCCCGACTGCGGGCAAAATGTCCTCCCAAACCTTTTTTCCGAGTCGCTCGAGCGATGGGCGAAGCGCAGGGCTTCATTTTACACAGGCCATTGACATCACGTTGAGGTACGACGGTCACTAAGTTTGTCTTCTTCGGCTATCCGTAGCACAAATATGGCGGCGAAACGTGGCGGCCAGTTCTTCTTTGCCATATCGTTCGCCGTCACTTCACCTACAATTGCTTTACAGGAAAATGACGTTGATGTGATCAAACATTCTTGAAATTGACAGTGCGTGTTGGAAATAATAAACCAACCAATTCTTACACACTCCCTTTATCTCTCACCGGTCAATATCCGGTATGAGCCCAGACACTGATCGACGCTACAAGTTGTCTTAAGTCATTCTTGCCAATGTCGTGTGACGTTCTTTTGGGAGGAAACTTGGCTGTTGGGATGGCTGTTTGAAAGTGCTCTATAAATACATTTGAGTTGAAACTTGACTTGACGTTGCTGCATTCTTCCCAAAGTACCACCCGAAAGTTGTGAGGGCTCAAGTTAGGTCATCACTCGACTGCCATCCCGGTCATGCTCAAGGGAAACCTCGTCGTCGTTTCCTGTTGCTGGTGTGTGTTGTTTTCCCGTGCGTGTGTGTGTGTGTGTGTGTGTGTGTGTGGACTATTGTCTTTTGTTGTTTTGCGATGACCTCACAGCGATGTCATGATGTGTCCTGAGCCTGGGAGGTGACAAGAAGGACTTGCTTGCTTGTCATGCTGACCGACTATTGCTCATTTGTGTCGCTGCAGGCTCCGCCCATGAGCGCCAGCCGCCGCCGCCGCCAGTCACCTCTTCCTCTCTGTCACCATGAGTGTGATGGCCTTGTCTCCCTTGAGCCCCGAGCCGCCGTCCCCCGCGCTCACTGCCGCCGCGCCCAATCTGGAGCAGGGAGGGGCGCCGTTAGCAAGACCCGCAAAGAGAAGAATGACGGCGCCGGCGGCCGACGACATCGCCCACAGGTGAACAAAACGAAAGGATGGCGATGATGTCGTGATGAAGATAAAATTGGAGGCGATGATGATGAAAATGAAGACAATGTTGTGATGATGATGATGATGAGCATGACAATGATGATGCCGACGAAGGTGTGGAGGTGCCTCGCGTGGTGGGATGCCTCCGAGTGGCGCAAGGGGGTACGCCGGGGCTCTTGGGCCCCAGTTGCGGCTAAATGCCCACGAGCCGGCGGGGAAGGAGACGGCGTCTCACCGGAAGGCAGTGGGAGTAGCCGCCCCACAACCCTCCTGAAATAGTAATCAGGCGAGGGCCCGCGCTGGGTGTGAACCTCGCGAGAGTCGTACCGGGTGTGGGATCCGGGAGGGGGGGTCAAGTCCCTGACGGGGGCCGATTGCCCAGGAGGAGGAGGAGGAGGAGGTGAAGGTCGTGACGACGAGAGCCTTGAGGAGCGCCATT